GAACTAAAGCTGGTCTCATCAGTCCCATCATACAAGGGCCGCATTGCATGACCTTTATGTATCACATGTACGGAGGAACTATGGGAAGTGTCATCGTATACACCAACACAACTACATCTCAGAGACTTGTCTGGATTAAGTCAAGATCTCAAACCAACCAATGGTTGAAAGCTATTGTACAACTGAATGAGACACAGGAGTATCAGGTGAAATCAGAGCCCGTTTTTACTTTAACATACCGGGGGGACGCCGGGGGCTCCGAGGGAACTCCCGGGGTAGAAGTACCGGGGATGCTCGTCTGATCTCTTAGGGGTAAAAATTCGTGGATTGGGAATCTTTTAGGGTGCCAATTTGAAGTTTTTGGAAATTTGCTATTTCTGCATCTCTTTGGATATCGGAAAAGAAGAGAAAGAGCGCATCAATATTGATTTTCCTCTGCGTTTTTATCATTGCAACTGATTCAATTTAACAATATTTGTTGTCCAATCTCTTAGGGGTTAAAAATCAGTCAGCCACGCCCTTTTTTCACGAATTCCGGGCTCTTTTAGGGGTCTTTTTTGAAAATTTCCGACGAGCATCCCCCCCACCCGGGTTTAACTTTGGACCACTTCACTTTTAAACTGCGAACGCCAAGAAGTTCCGTGCCAGGTTGTTTTGTCTTTGATATCTTGTTTGTCTTTTTTCAAAGGTTTTATTCCACGGAATAGTAGGGAGTTCTTGGTCAAGTGATTGTGCAATTGACGATGTCAAATTTTTTAAGGGGGTCTGCATCGAATCCCGTGAGTACTTGAAATGGTCAAATTCCAACAAAAATATGACTCAAAGGGTCAAGATTATAATATAGTTACTATAGAGTGATCGTACTAATTTGTACTAAAAGTGGACCTGCAAGACGGTATTGAATGCTTCATTTGAATCAATTCAATTTAATTTGCCTATCGCATGCACGATTTACTAAATACACCTAAACATCACTATTTAGTTTGTACGTTGCACGGATTAAGTGCGATCACTCTATCGAATGCTTCATTTGTATCAATTCAATTTGATTTGCGTAGAGTGATCGCAAAAAAACCGCGTGCAACTGTACAAACTAAATAGTGCTATTTAGTTGTATGTAGTAAATCGCGCATGCGGTACGCAAATTTAATCATTGTGATTTCTTCTACAGCATCAACGTGGCTCCACGTATATTTCAGAGATGATGAAGACAAGTTTAAAATAGCTCCGTATGGTGGAATTGCTATGGGATTGTGGGACTAYCAGTTCTCTTTCCTCGCCTTTCAAGTAAAAAGGCACGAAACTGACAAGATGTATTTCGCCTATCCTYCCGAATGCTCTTTGAATTCCCTGTCAACTGAGTTGCCAGCAATACTAAGTCAGTGTTATCCTTTTGAATTCTTTTACGCCTCCTCGCTTATCCGCGGTGCTAATGAGTCGAAGGTTCTTCTTCTTAATCGGAAAAATGGAACTGTGTCTCGGGGATTTGGTTTGGAGAAGCGGAATGATTTGTGTTGTGGTGACATCGTCGAGGGTTTCTTTTATGCAAGACTATCAATAATAGGTTAGTATTTAGGCTTTCTCGTATCATGCTTGTATTGTTGTCAATATCATCATCGCGAGCATGCTATCATCGCGTCGTCGTGTCTATAATTATTATTATCATCATCATCAATCTTATGGTCTCCATTGCCATGGTCACTGTATCATCATCATGACCATCATCATCATCATCTCCATCGTCATCATTATCATCATGCC